CATTCAAATAAAGACATGTTCTTCCTTAAATCCTGCTACCTTTCTACCAAAAAAGGAGAAAATTGAGCCTAAAAGACCTGCTGTGAACAGATACTTTTCCATTCATACACAGCCAGGGAAGCCTTGTTGGAAACACTCCTTACACATCTTGATTTTACCCTCTTCTGTGATGGTGGCTCATTCATGGAAAATTGGACAAGAAAGGAAGGGTATGCAGTAGTGACTCTACATCAGACACTTAAAAGTTCCTCACTTGCCCCTGGGACTAATGCTCAGCTAACAAAGCTCTTACCTCTGACCAGGGCTTTTACAACTCAGTGAAGGACAAAAAGTCAATATTTATACTGACTCAAAGTATGCTTTCTCAGGATTGCATGCTCACACCATTCTATAAAACGAAAGAAATTATCTGACAGCCAATGGATCTTCGTGAAGTATCATAAGGATATAGAGGAACTTGTGCCCATGTCCATGTGCCTTCCAAAGTGGTGATGATTCACCGCAGAGGGCACCAGAAAGGAGTTGACGGAGTATCTCAAAGCAGTCAGCTGGCTGACACCGCTGCAAAAGAGCTGCTCAAGAGTCCCCTACAGTGCGCGCCCGCTGGATCTGGGAAGGGCCCCTCGATCATACTCGGCCCAAATATTCTCAGTCAGAAGTGGAATGGGCTCTCTCCCAGGGGTGTCGGTTCCTCCCATCAGGATGGTTACAGTCAGGTGATGGTAAATTGTTCCTTCCTGGTGCTCGTCAGTGGAAAAGTATTAAGTCATTACATCTATTTTCTCACTTGGGGAGAGACAAGACCCACTAGATGGCCTCAGAGTTATTCCTAGGAAAGGTACTTTCTCAGACAATACAACAGACAGTTAACACGTGAGCTATGCCCCTAAAATCCTGTTAACTGGACCACAACCCTTCTAGGAATACAGAGACATAATAAATCCTTGGGAAAGCATGGCAGCTCGACTTTATTCATGTGCCAAAGAGTAAGGGGCTCCAATACATACTGGTGTGGATAGATGCTTCTCAAACTGCCTGAGGCCTTTCTTGAAGAACAGAAAAAGCCCAAGAGATGATACAGATTTTGGCCTCAGAAATCATCCCCCGATTTGAACTTCCTCAGAGCTAGTGGAGTGAGAGTGGGTCTTCTTTTAAAGCAGCAGTCACACAGGGTGTCCCCGGCACGGGGCATTGTCTGTCACCTCCACTGTGAGCAGAGGCCTCAACCACTGGGAAAGGCACACAAAGAGAACGAGACCATAAAGAGACACCTGTGCAAAATGGCTTAAAAACCCATGCAGAGTGGCCTCACTTACCGCCTTTAGCTCTTACCAAGATATGAAAAGCATCTCAAATTCTAGGCCTCAGTCCATTTAAAATGCCTCATGGATGCCCTTTTCTCACTAATTATTTTCTCTTTGATAGACAGATACCTTACTAAGAAATTCATCTCAGTGTCTAAATTCCAACAGATTCTTCTATGGCTCACAAAAGCTCAGCCTAAAAAGAAGAGAAATCCCATATCCCACTCCGGAGATTCAGTACTGGTAAGGGCTGTTCCACCATCATCTCTTTCACTAGGACTAACTTGGAAGGACGATAACCATGATCCTGTCTACCACACAGCTGTCAGGCTAGCAGGCCTGCACTCCTGGGTACACTACACCCAGCGGAAGCCCCGGAAACCAGACCCTGTCCTACGTGTGAGCGACCAGCCAGATACTCCTGTGAATCCATGGAAGATCTAAATGCTTGTTCAAAAAGAAAGCAAAGTCTTCCGATGATAATCTAAGGTGTTACTCTAGCCCTTTTACTAGTTGCTTTACACTTAGGAGAGTGCAGTTCCTTCCTAGTGTGGGCACAGGAGTATGCGGAGTCATTACAACAAACGTCTTGCCGGATATGTGGCCTGTATCCTTTGTCAAGTACATCAGGACTTTCCTGATGGGTTTCCCCACTTCAAGGAGAGGATTAAAATAAGTGACAAGACCACACCGATGAGACACGAAAGGGTTCAGTGGTTTACAGTCTTCCCCACCATTACAAGGTGACTAAGTGACCTATAAACTTCATCCCTAATGATCCTGGACACAATGGAATCTTTTCTAAAATTGCCACTGCAGCTTCTCTACTACAGACTCTAGTAGAATGCTTATTAAAGAAGAGTAAGGGTCCTATCATGAGAAACAGCAATCATGGATATAAGGAGGGTTACTTTCAGATATGAGATAATTATAGGAACAGCAACATGTGCACCCATGTTTATAGCAGTGCAATTTGTCATAGCTAAATCTTGGAAACCACCCAAATGCCCATCCACTGAGGAATGGATAAAAATGGTGCGGTGTTTCTATACAATGGAGTATTACTCAGCCATAAAAAAGATAAACTCGAGGCTTTTATAGGTAAATGGATGCAACTAGAGACCACACTCATAAGTGAAAGAAATTGGACCCACATGTGTAACATCACATTGTCTCCCTAGTGTAAGAACCTGAAAGAGTAAGTAAAACTCAAAATGTACAATAGATAATAAGAAAGGGAAAGAAACTGCTCAAAGGAAGGAACAACAGGGATGAGGGAAAGGAACAAAAGTGCAGACAAGCAGTTTTTTTTGGTGAGAGTGCACTCTTGGGAGTGTTGGCCAAGTTGAGCTACAGCTGTAATACGGTGGTACCTTGGTTCATGAACTTAATTCTGCCCACGGTTCTGGTTGCAAAGCAAACTGGACGAGAACCAAATGAAATTCAGTGGTTAGGTTCAGTGTTGACTTTACGCGTCGCTGAAGTCTGATCACGTCCAGTGCTAGTGATGGTGACGGGAGGGTCTCGGGCAGTGGCCAGCAGCACCTGTGCCCTCTGTATTTGAACCTGTGACCTCTTGGCTCTTTCTTGGCTAAAGGTTTTTCTTAGCCCTGAGCATGTGCAAGGCACAGGTGTAAATCCCTCATCTGATGAGTGTTCTCCTGTGTTAAAGTCCAGCAGTTTTGCAAGCTGTCTTAGTTTGAACGGAGGAGAGAGGCGGGGTTTTGTTCAGAGAATGTAGCACAGCTGCAGTGAGTTCAGATGTCTGACGCTAACTCCCAGTGTGTTGGGAGGAATAAAGGGCATAGGGGGCTCTTTGTCAGTTAGACCTTTGTCTTAGGAAACGTTTCACAGGGGGATCCAGGACGACCCGTTCCTGGCCAGTAAATTCATCACAGCATATCTGAAGAGGGGGTCTATTTTGCTAGCAGGGAGAGAAGGGCTCAAAGGTGTAGCTCAACTCTTAAAGAAGCTTAAGAGCAGGCTTTGACAATGTCTAAGGTCCCTCTGGGACAGTGAATACCAGGAGATCAAAGAGAGCTTTCCGTCTCACCTCACAGAGGTGTGCAGGTGGGGACGAAAGATAAGTGGAGGTTGCTCTTCACCCAGTCGGACTGTCAGCACCCAGATTCCACTAAGGAGGCTTTGGGTGCCCACCGAGGTCACCCCAGCGGGACCCCTCAGGTGCCCTCTCAGCTTTCACTGGCTCCACGTGGCCAGAGATCTGTGTCTAGAGAGCACCGCAGCTGCCCGTCTGGCCTAGGTGCCCACTGGCTTCTGTGGGAGGGGAGTTGACCAGGAGGAGCTGGGGAACCTGTCTGCTGCCTTAAGAGTGGCAGCTGCTCTAAAAGCATCTAACTAGCTTGCAGCGTAAGCACTCTACTTCTTAGAGTTCTGTAAGGGGCAGGCAAAGGCTGTGTGCATGTGTGTTTGGCCATTCCGCCGCACTTACCTCTCCTAGAGAAGCCGAGTGCCGCACATTGGCTGCCAAAGATGTAACCAGCTCCCTGTAGGTGTCAGGTTATTGATTCTGTGCAAGGGAGATTGAAGCCACAAGACCAGCACACAGCTAGCAGTGGGGAATGACCTAGTCTGTGTTGAATAGAGTCAAAGGAAATGCTCGCTACTTGTCAAGGAGGGGTTTTATAAGGTAGACACCACAGATGTTCTAGTCCACTGGCTTTCTGTAGTTTTTGGTAGGTATAGATGTGACAGAATGCAAGATGCCCCTGGCTGCAGGTAGGCCTTTGGTGGGAAGCAAGCTGCTTCATTTGCATTTCAGCTTCTCTTCCTCCAGGGCTTCTCCCATGTGTGTAGGGAGCTGTATTTTGTCCCCTGTTTCATTAGGTCCTGGTAGCCTATTTGCTCTTGTTAGTTATTTGGGCCCTCTGCTGTATTAACTCAAGTCCCAAATTTTAGCTTATTTCAGGTTCTTATTTAGGACCCTTGCCCCACATGCCTAACTTCCTCTATCTTCCGGCTTCCTTAACATTAGCTTTTGATGCTCTTATCTTGAAGTATCTTTCCTCTGCTTTGTCGTAACCCACTTTTTCTAGTCTTCTCCTGTGTAATTTCTTCTGAATTTCATTCCTCTCGAGGTTTCTTTCCCATCATTTTTCTACTGGTCCCCACACAGAGACAAGAATCAACTCCACCACCCCCCCCCACAGCAGCAGGATGGGGTGCAGCTGAGAAGCCACCCAGAGAGATGAGCCCCTCTCTGTGCCCCGAGCTGGCGCGGCGAGCAGAGCTCTCTCATGGACTTACTCCGTTTGCTGGGCCCCTCCGAGTCGTCTTCTCCCCTGCTAGTTCTGTCCCAGATGCAGACGCTTGCCTGGATTTTATAAGACCTTTTTATTTCCTTCCTTTAAGCCAGCCTCTTCCCTGGCTGTATATAATTCTAAAGTCCTTTTATTGCTGTCTATTGTGCACTCAAGCAAACACCAGGCCCATTTGGGGATCTGGGAGTGTGCTGTCCAGTGCCCTTGCTTCCCCTTTGCTCCTGAAGCGTGTTCGGACACCAACACGTCCTCCTGCTTTTGTTCTTCTGGCTCCTTCCTGCTTCTGAGAGTCATCAGTCCAGCTTCAGACTGCATGTGTATGTCATTTAAATATAGTCACCAAAATTGGAAAATACAGATAAGTGTTTAAAAATTAAAGAAGAAGGAAAAAGCTCCCATAATCCCAACACCCAGATATAATTAATGATATTTCACTTAGATCTGTAAACTTTCACGTGTAAGTGTGTATTGGACAAAGACATATAAGATTTTGTAAAATCACATAGTATCATCATGTGTGTATACCTTGTAGTCTGCTCTTTTAGCTTAATATCTTATTGACACCTTTCATGTCAATAAACGTGTTTACTATAGTTGATAATAGTGGCATGCTGGTGTGCATTTTGGAAGTCCCTTGCTGCACTCCAATCACGTACATTCAACCTTCGCACTCACGGGTACATTAAATAGCCCCCCCCCACTACCCTCACCTCCATCTCCCTGTGTGGTTCATGGGGTCTCATGAATGTTGAATGGGTGCAGATTGTTTCCCACGGTTTATTCTTGTGTAGTGGGGAAGGTTTTCATTCTCTTGTAGGTTCATATATTTACGTAGTTTTTAAATGGAAAAAGAGATAGTGTTACAAGCTTAAGAAACTGAGGCTTGCAGGCAGTAATATTGCTCACAGGTTGAATATAATGAAACCTAGAAGAAGCAGCATTGCTTTAGAAAGACCGAAGAATCAGGGCTGTGTGTGACAGGTATCACTTGTTCAGCTTGATCTTTGTCATGCAAGCAGCAGGGGGACAGCGTTGGGAATGAACAGAGCTCTTTAATGACTGGTGTTCTCCTCCCTTTTCCTGGTGGCCTTCACAGTAAATCTTGTTCTTTCTGTCCTCTCTCCTTCCAGGTCTCCTAACTGTGGGGCTGGAGTTGTCAGTGCAGTACGGGGAGATATAGGCCCTTTCATGACCTCTTCTGTGTCCCTCATATAGGAATGTGCTTGCAAATCTGAGTTAGACATTAATGGGTGACGGGTACCACTGTACGTTTTTGAAATTAAATGTTTGCTTCCTTTTTATAGAAAAGAGAACGCTTCTCTCATGCTTCCATGAGGCTCCTTTTTTTTTTTTTTATTTTAAAGAGCAAAAGAAGGGTTACAATAATGGGGGGGGCTTACCAAGTTACAGACAAAGTGGTAGGAAATTATCAATGGTTATTGTTTTACATATTGTTATCTACAAGATAGTTTCTCAAGAAAACAAATAGACAAATAATAGTGAGTTAGAGACAAAAGAGGTAGGAGATTATCAATAGTTGTTGTACTCTACTTAGGTATCTTCAAAAGAAAATAAATAGAACAATACATGAGTGACCTATTGAATAATCATTATTCTCAATGGTTGTTGTAGGAAACACATAATAATAAACACGCATCCATTTATGAAATAGGATAGGGACATTACAAACTTTACACAGTTATGATAGATTAGTAGGAAAATATCAATGGCTGCTGTAATACATGGTGGTATCTTAGAAGTGGTTTCTCAGGAAGACAGAGATACGCAAGAAGGATCTAACAAGTAGTTACAGCCTGAGGGTTGTCAAAAATCAAGTGAACCATCTGGGGCCAAAGCCATTTTTTTGTAGTGTTTTCTCTCCAGCCTCCCATCGCATTGGGACCCCGCAACCAGTTAGGGTCGTCTCCCCAGCTGTCAGCACAGGCAGCAGGAATCCTGCTGCAGACTTCTCTGGAGCTCCACCACAGCCTGTACTGTCAGGGGAACAATGGCTTCCAGGGAGTCTCCGCATGTATTGTGCAAGGTCCTCCTGGTTACAGCTTCCGAGCGGCTCTCATGACCCCAGTCCACAGGACCTCTGACCCCTTGGGCTTAGTCTGCATTCTCATGTTCTCCGAGTCCTTGTTCAGCAGCTGCTCCTCTGCTGACTGGACCTTTCTGGTTCTCAATGGCAGGAGCAAGAGTGGCCCATTGTATAGCATGTATTCCCAGGGGTTTTTCCATGTTTGAGTGATTCACACACATCCTTAGGTGGGCATCTGCAGCCGGTGCATGGTGTGCCAATTGTGTCATTGTTTCTCTGTGTCATGATAGTCATGAGGCTCCTTATTCAGAACTCTGAAGCACAGGTCACAGGGTTTCCAGAGACTGTCTTCCATTCCTTCAGTGATCTCACCCCATGGCCACTTCTTGTGGAGCTGCTGTCGCAGGTCTGAAAAGGTCTCCACAGCCCAGATGAAGATGGCGCGGGCAGCCACTGAGCCCCCAGCTAAACACGCGTATTTCATAAACGCTGCTGTTATTGCTATGATTACTACAGCAGGCACTTGTTAGGATGTGTGATTTGACAGGCCAGGTTCTAAGACCCATGTAGGTTAACTTTGCAAAAGTGGGTCACAGAGAGGGAGAGGAACGTTCCAAGCAGCGCAGTCAGTGTGTGCCAGAGAAGAGCCCCACAGATGCCAGTATCTGGTGTTGCAACACTGGACTGTCTCATCTTTGTTGAGAAATTGGGCTGTTCTCTGAGTAACAATGTCTGTAGAAAAGCGAGCGCTTCCCTGTAGAGGACGCCGGTGCTTTCCTCTCCACAAGTTGTCCGGAGCTGTCTCAGGCTCCAGCTGCTTCCTTCACCACATCCTCTGTTCCAGGTGGGAAGTGAGATGCCGCTGTGTGGGTGGCTCGCAGTAACTGGTGTCCAGCGACACGGACGTCTTTACATCTACTTAGTTCCTACCCTTAAGACAGATGTAGGCTCCTTGGATGGCTTTTATAAGGCGTAAGTGTACTGACAAGAATTAAGGACATCTTTCCAGCTCTGATGAATTTGGGGAACTGCGTTAATGGCCACGAATAGACTCATTAACCAACATACAAGTGCATCTCATTCATACAATGACGAAGCACTTTTTAAGTCTAAGGCAGTAGATGTAGAACAACTTTAAGGGTCAGGTGCAAATCTGAAGTGATGTGAAATTTTGATCATTATGTACATTTAAGGTCTAAACATGTGTAAAAGAGAGCACCTATGACTTACTTTGGATGTGTTGAGCTTACATAGTCTCCACTCTAAAGCTTCTTTTAGATTTATAGGATAGCTTGTTTTTAGATATATACATAGCCCATATATAGGTTATGTCGTAAGCTAAGATAATGGCTGTTTATTTAAACCGATCATGCATTGATTATTGAACACATTTTATATGTTAACTTTCAAATACTCTTTAATTCTTAAAGCTCACTTTTTGTAACAAAAAACCTAATGATGAGAACAAAAGGTAATTTAGTAGGATATAGAACCTCTGCTTTTAAATTTGGTTTTTTAAGTTTAATCGAAGCATCTCAATGCTTTTAGAAGTCAGAGTGGGTTTGATATAGAAATCTTAACCTTTCAAGCACAGTGAAAAACAGTCACTTTGAATGACCCTTCATAACAGGTAACACTTATTTAAAGATATATTTATATATATTATGTTTGACCAAGAAAGACTCTGAAATTATGGTACACAGATCATACTAGACATTGCATTTATAAATCTAATTTTTGGTTCTATCTTGATTACCTAGGGGCCTGGATGAAATATGTTACCAAATTTAAAGGTATGTTTACTCTCACCAACTGATTTAAATTAGCCTGTTGTTAAACTATATCAGCCACAAGCATTTGAGGTAATGTCTTGAGTGTTGATTTATCTATAACTCAACGTAGGTAGAACTTTTGGAGGATGATATATACCTGGAGGTTAATGTATGGAAACATATACATATCATCCTAAGTCATAGGTAAGCTTTATGTTATCAGATTTTAAGGCCTTTACTCCTATGTAGGCCTCAAGCTTCTCAGACTTTGTCTGGTAATGCTTTTAAATAAGTTTGGCTTCTCTGAAAACCTATATAAACGGTGTTTCCTCGCAAAGCTCAAAAAGAACCAACAAAGTAAAAATAAAAAGAAATTATTGAGATCAAAAAATATTTTTTAGGGGCCAGGGATATAGCTCTGTGGCACAGAGCCTGCCTAGAAAGCCAACCTAAAAAGGTTGTGAGTTAGATTCCTGGTACTGGAAAAAAAAAAAAGATTAAAATAAAGCAGCTGCAGGTGCTTTAACCAGTTATTAACATACATTAAATAAACAGATGGACAAACACACAAAACAGTTGTTTCTAAACCACAGTGCACTCTCACATACATTGGCCATGTATAATTTCAATAACTCTTTTACAGTTTTTTCGTTTATAACTATGAAAGGACTAATCAGAACTTTTCCTTTAGGTCATTGGTTAGTAGCAGAGGGATTTGTAATAAGAGTCAGGTGGAAAAAAAAACATTTTGCACCAATGAAAGCAAGACTATAAAAAGGGATTTAGGCTGATGATTAATCTTACTGGAATAGAACCATTTCTTTTTAAAACTATCAATAAAGCATAAGCATTCTTAGGAATATTTTTTGTTTACCAATGAACGTATCTGTGCTGTAAAAAAACAGTCAGTTTGCTCCATAGAGCAGCATTCTAGAAAGGAGAGGGAAGGGAAAAGAGTTTTAATTTCCAGTTTGCCTAAGAGTAGAATGGCTGATAAATTTGGAGTAAAACAGTTACATTTATCTTTTGAAGGTCTGAGGGTGAAATCTAGATGAGATGTAAGAATACATCCCAGAGATAAGTCCAGGTTGGCTTCACTCAGGAAGAGTCTCAGGGAAGGGGAAACCCACCACCCTGGAAAGCCGGCCCTGGAATGCAGCAGGCACAGAGAAGAGGACTACCCTGAAGCACCAAATCCCAATGTCTCAAGGGCGGAGAGACAACCAAGACCAAATGCTTCCCAGGGTGGGTCTGCAGTGCTTAGCAAAACATGCCTCACAGACAAAACTGCAATTGATTAAAATCGTGTTGTGGGCAGAAAATTAAACCAATAATCAAAGAACCTGAAGGTCTGTATTTAACTTTCTGAGATGGGGGAGAGAGTGAGAGAGTGAGAGAAAGAGAGAGAGGAGAGAAAGAGGGGAGAGAGAAAGACTGAGATAGAGGCTCATGAGGCAGATTGGAGATGCTGCTTTAAGCTTTCTAGTCCTGAGTTCACATCTGTGTGTGCTCGAGCCTTTGTAAAAAGTACTGATAGAGATTCCTTCAACCTGATAATTTTTTTTCCCAGTTTAGCGTAACTTTCTGGGTTGACTTTTGCTATCTTCTCTCTCTCTCTCCTTCTGTCTCCCTCTCTCTCCTTGCCAATTTGTATTTTTCTTTTCTTTTCCAATTTTTTCATTTTTATTTTCCCTTTTCCTACATGTCTTGTCTTTTCCTATTTTTCTGCTCTTTTTCTATTTTCCTTATTTTAATTTTTTCCCTAGTTTTTCTGTTTTTATTTGCTTTTCCTACTTTTTTCTATGTTTTTGGAAAACAAGTCCAGTTGGCACAGGTATTATAATCACATGCCCCTCCCCTCTGGCCACCTCTCCTGGTCCCCTGGGTGGTCAGAGGTGGCAGGGGGTTTTCAGGGGGAGCTGAGGGGAGGAAGAAGGCTTTTCAGGGGAACTTCGCCTGATTCAGTAGATCAAACAGCGACATGCAAAGCTACCTGAAAGCAAAGTGAGCAACGTGTGCAGGACACAATGACGGTCTCAGTTTGTGACCCAGGTGTCCCCAGCCCTCCACCTCCAGGCTGTCCTCCAGTGGACACCAGGACACTGTGGTCAGGTAACTCTCAATCATTTAATAAGTTGAGGTTCAGAAATTTTACTCCCAGATGTCTTTATATAAGCATTGCAAATGTTGCTTAAATTGCTTTTCCTCTGGGTGAAATTTGATCCACACCACATGACTGAAAGTAAAAGAGGACAAAGAATGGAAGAACTGCCCCTGCCCCAGTAATCGGGCGGTTAGAGTCTCTGGGCTGATAAACCCAACCCGAGACCTTGCTGAAGGCTTTGCGGGCTGTTCTGCGGCCACCTCCGTCCCCTTACCAGGATGTGACGTTGGATGCTGCTGCTCCTCTTCCAGGCATTGGAAGATGGGTCCTCTGTGTGGAGTTGCACCAACTTACTCCTCACATGGGACTCCACTTGTCGTGGCTCATGACCGTGGCCTGGTGCGAAGGATGCAAGATGACTGGAGTGAATGCCCAGTTCAGTCTCCAGAAGGCCCCAGGGACTGCCCTGAACCAAGAGCCCTCAGCTTCTGGGTCTTATAAAGACAGCTCTGAACTGAAGCTTCTGTGGCTTTTATTGATAGAACCCGGAAGCAAAGATAAGGACCGAGGAAGGAGGTCATGGCAGGAATTCATGTGGGGACAGCAGAAGGACAGGGGCAGGACAAGTCAGGGTGTTGTGTTCCATCCCTGACCTCAGGGCCAGTCTGAGTCACAAACTGGAGCGTGGGGATGGAGAGGGCCGGAGCGTGCACTCCTCAGTCAGTGTCCTTGTCCCTGCGTGGGCTCGTGGGCCTGCGGGCTGCCGTGTAATCTCTGAGAGTGCGTTCCAGGAGGGCTCGGGCCTGTGGCTCCAAAAGTCGCTTCCCTCTGGACATTGATCTCATACGCTCCTCTGGCCAGTGACTCACAGTTGGTAGGATATTGTTATGTTTTAAAAGGTGTAATCTCACCGAACTTAATTCTGGAAAATTTAGAAGAATTATGAGGCAGAAAATAATGATAGACAAATAACAGTTCTTGCCTTTCCATAATTGTAAGTACACAAAAAGTTATAAAAGAAACAATATTTTGCAACATTAGAAGTATATACTGTTGGAATGAACATTGTGTTTATGTTTAAAGCTGTTACTTAAAATAGCTTATTTTGAATTTATATTTTTTAACCTAAGTTAGAGTGATGTCAGTAGTACAGTTAGAATCAAAGGAGCTGAGTGAGACACTCCCTTCCCTCCATTTACCTGTGAACACCTTACCACCCTACTTGTTGTCGACTTTTCCACTGTTCTAAAAAAAGTAAATAAAATATCAAAACCTTATGAGGTAGTGATGCTGGAGGCCACAGATCACAGATACCCAAGGTACCAGAGTCAGAGGGGTCTGACACGTTAAGCCCTGGGAGCCGGAGTTACCGTACGTTCTTCTTCCTTTTCCCTTCTGCTGTTCCTGCTGCTGCTGTCACATGACTCTCCGTAACCGAAGCCTTGCACTGCATACCGTGGGGTGTGTGCTTGGCGATCCTCTCCTCCTCGTGTAGGAGAACCTGGACTATTTTTGGCCCATTCAAATGTAAGAGCAGGGCTGCTTGCAGAAGGTGATGTGGTTGTACATTTTTGTGTTTATCTTTTATTCTAGTAATACTCATAGTAGAGAAACCAGTCTCACAGAAGTGTGTTGACAGGTACAGAAGACATTTTAGAATAATTCCAGAAACAGGATATTTTCACCACTAATCAGCAATTTAACTTCTGAAATTACAGAATAAATTTTTTCCATTTGACCAAAAATATTCTACAAAGATTAATTTTCAATTTTAGAGTATTTTTGGTGGAGTATTAAACTTATAATGGACTTGACAGTAGCTGCTTTAGATATGTAGTATAATAGCCTCAATAATTTCATTGCTGGGTATTAAATTAAGATATGTGCCTTCAGTATCTGCAGATACTCTTTTTCTAAGCCTCTAAACCTCGATTTTATTTGATCTTATCTGTTTGATCTTTGGAATTACTAAGATCATTAGGTCATGGAACATATCACACAAGCAGGTCTTCTTCTAGTCTTGTGTGAAAAGCTGAGATCAAACTGGCCTCTTACCCATGATGAGATACAAATTTCAGTTCCTGGTCTCAGATGTTAGTAGAACTTACCCTATGAGTGACGTCATAGCAATGATTGCATTGTCTCACATTTTGTGTGTGTTTATGGGGTTATGGTTGACAAGCCCAGCTTACCACATCATCTGCGGCAGCATGGTCCTCAGAACATGATCAATAGGAAGCTCACACCACACGCAGAGCGCTGTTCAAGTCTGGCAAGAGCCCGGATGGGCCACATCCACTCAGTGAGTGGGAAGTCGCTGGGTCCTCAGCTGTCACTTTCTGTGCTTGTGTTTTCATGAAAAAACAGTGAGAAAGCAGGGGAGGGCTCCAGCACTGGTCTGTGGTCCCCGGTTTGAGCAGCAGCCTGTGTCAAGCAGTAGGACTCCACGTTTGCCAGGCCCCAGTCTGCGTCCTCACAGGGTCAGGTGCAGCTGTCTGGCTGGGGAGCGGTGGGGGTGAGGTCCCTGGAAGTGCAGGATGAAGAAAGAAGCCAGGGACATCAGGTAAACTGAGCTAGGTTCAAATGAGAAGAGGTCAGGATGTGTGGGACTCCTGGAGTATATCTGGAGCTACAATTGTAACCTGCAGTCATTCATGGATAAAAGACAGTGTATTTAATTTTAATTTAGCCTTGGGTTAGAAATAATACTGCGTACTATTTATTGGACATGGAGTTTTCATAAACCTTTATTTACTTCATGCCACAGTCCTATAATTGATCTAATTGCCACTTTATGCACAAGGAAATGGAGTCCTGCATGGTGAGCACTTTGATAAGGGTCAGAGGGTGAGGGTGTGACAGACTGTGTGTTTCCTGGTGTGTGTAAACCCAAGCTGGCCTTCCCGTAAAGCAGGACACCTGTGGGGCGGGTCTGGACAGTCTGTAGATAAACGTGTGCCAGCGGGACTGGGCTTGGCCGGAGGACACTCTCAGGGGAAGCCACCCGGCTCTGGGTAGTTTTGTGCAGGGTTGGAAACTGTGGCGGTCTTAAGTGGCAATGTGATTCCAAGGAAAAACTGGGACACGTTGGTGACAGATTGCACCACTAGGTGTCCTATGTGCTTAACGTTTGCTTTTGTGTTCTGTTTGTGTCTTTACTTTGGCGGTAGCTGGGAGTTACATTTGGAGAGCCCAGAAAATGTGTCACTTTGCTTTTCCTCTGATGCTATACAATCTCAGAAGGGACAAACGGTTGGGGACTTTGTAACAATGGTGGTGTGGTATGTCTTTCTGGGTGACATATTCAAGTATTTGTCTACTGAAGGAAGACGCTGAATCTCACTAGTGAAGGAATCATTGTTTCTGTGACCCTGGCTAGCACAGAGAAGCTCCCAAAGAGCAGAGAACATTTTAAGATCCACAAAAGGTCCACTGAGGGTGAGGTCTGTGCCAGGCGAGGTCTTAGGTTCTGATAAGTGAACACATCAAAAATTCTTCCACAGCTCAGGGTTCTGGGTCTTTTAGGTTTTTTCTTTATAATGTTGTACCTGAATGTTTCTGATGGGTTTCTGATGGGCAGGTACACCAGATGTCCTAAGGTGGAATCTTATCATAGATGCTGTAAGTTCACAGCTTCACAGAACATCCATCACAAGTATAGATATAAGGAGAAGGCTGCAGACATCTTTGGCTACTTACGTTCACGCTGTGGTGGGCAATATCCCGAGTATATTGAGGTCTGTAATTTCGCCAGTGAGGATCCATTACTCATTTGCTGTGCAGTAACACACTCATCTTAAGAATATTGTAATTTTGTAATCTTACCCGAAAGGGGTTTGATGTCGGTAAGTAACACCCCTTGCCTGTGGGTTGTGGGTTTTATGATTAGAATGCCAGTTAACCATCATGCTTCCTAAGTCTTAAGTGATAGCTACATCGGTGTCTAGCTTGATGCAGCTAAAGAGCAACCAAGACTACAGTACACTGAGGTACTGGGATGACAGAGACTATAAAAGACACTCAGGTTAAGTGGGTCTGAAATGAGATCCAGAATTCTGCCTTTAGATCTCCACGTTAGTTGAAGGAAGGCCACCTGTCGTATCTTGAGAACCATGAGTCCATCCATAGAATATTCTTAATAGTGACACCACATGAATGACTGGTGGTGGTCCTCGTCTGGGTGTCAGGAGAGATCTCTTGTCTCCTGAGGGTGATTGGGGTGGTGGGACTGTGATGGTGGCTACGTGGCCCCCACAT